GGTGGGCGCGCCCCCCCCCCCCACCCCCCCCCCCCCCCCCTTTTTTTCCCGCTTCGGATCTCTGCTTCTTTGCTGGGTTGTTTATCTGCATGTCAACAACAGCACGTGACCCATCCGGGAGCCGAAAGTCACGAGGGCCGAAGGGCAAGGGGGAGGGCGAGATGCATTTCTGCTGCCCTGTGCAGCCGGGCACGATCCGGTACCTGTAAGCCCAGGAGATTCGCTTCGGCCCAAGCCGGTGGAGCAGCGGGCGGCAGCTAGTGCGGCACAGCAGCAAGACCGGGGCGGAGATCATCGCCGCCCGCTGGCAATGCTGCTGGCGGCAAAGGGCGGTGCTAAGCCCCCCTCCCCCCGCCCCCCAAGTGAATTTTGGTGCCAGAGGAAGCCCCGACGGAGCGGAGAGCGAGAGGAGAAGGGGCCCTAGTTCTCTCCCGGTGGAAGCAGGGAGGGCGGGGAGGGACGCTGCTCGGATTGCGATTCAGGCGTCAGGGGGTGTGACTCCGATTTGTGGGCGTAGGGAGGAAGCGGTTTAAAGGGGAGGAGGTTCACGCTTGGAAAGGCAGAGGAGGGAATCGGCCTATTGTACAGGACAGCTTTTTGTGCGGTTCTGCCATGCTTGAGAGCTTGCACACTGGTTGTTTGTCTGTTTGCGGAGGGTAGTAAATAAAAGGTATTAGATGGCTTTTGATTTCGGGGGTTTGGTCCGGACAGGGACTGGGTAAAAGCAAGGGGGTAGCCCTTCCAAGGGGGGGGGGGGGCTGGGGCTGGGCCAGAGGCATTGCTGTGCCAGGTCCTTAAAAGAACCGAGGCCCAGTGACATCATAGGGAGGAGCCAGTGAGGTCACAGGCCATTGTCACTATTTATGGAGGCGGAGCCATGTGGGATTTAGGAAGGGGTTCTCCAGAAATTTAGGGGGACCTGGAAACCCTTGAGAACCCCCCCAGCCAGGCTCAGAAAGAAAGCATGACATGGGCAAAATCCTCTACCTAAAACCCTGGAGAACCACTGCCAGTCTGAGTAGACAATGATGACACTGATAGACTGATGGTAGAGAAATCATGCTTTGTGTGCCAAAGGATAAAGGTTTAAACCGAGAAGGTCTAAGAAAACAGGTGTTGGAAAGGATCTTTCTCTGTCTGAATCTCTAGAGATCACCTGCATCAGAGCAGACCATGCTGAAGTAGATGGACCAATGGCATGAAGACCAGTGTGGATTGAGGAGACCCATGTTCAGATCTACATTTTGCATGACACTTACTTGGTGATACTGGGTGTAGTGTATCAGGCCCCTACAGGGCCGGGCATGCCTGGGCTTGTCCAGGCAGCAAACACAGCTAGCTTCAGACCAAAAGACAATGGGCAGTAGGATCCTAGCCAGGCCCAATGATCGACTTAACACTGGGACAGTTAGATTTGAGTCCAATAGCAGATTAGAGACCAACAAGAGTTTCAGGGAATAAGTTTCCAAGAGTCAAAGCTCCCTTCATCAGGCTGGGTGATATTGCCATTATCTGAGGTCAATATAGGGGAAGGGAGACTGGAGGAAGGGTGGGATAAAGAGGGGATTGACAGACAACATGTGAGCAGCAGAGTCCGTTGGGATGGAAGAGGAATTTACAGGAGGGAAATAGCACCAACTGATGTAACTAAGAAAACAGATCTTCCCAAATGAAAGCATCATAAATTATAGCATGAACATGAACCTATATTGTGATGCATTAAGTGATGAAGCAGTGGAGACAAAACCTTTAGTGGTATTTAGTTGAACTTCCTGGACAGGCAGAGGGTTGCCACTGGCCAAACTGCTCTGACTTTAGAGAGCTGGGACAAGCAGCAAGGCTTGAGGAAGGGGATGTAGATCCATGGTTATAGAAAAGAAGGAGTCTAGGAACTGAGAAAGCAAAGCGGTCCAAATGAAGCACGACATAGAAAGCTGTACATAGTTGAGAGGAATTAGAAAGGAATGGAGATGCACAGTTGGTGTGAAGTACATTTTAGAAATTATAGAAACAGCATAGAAGTTTCTTAGGTGGGGTTAGCTACAATGCTATTGCAAGGTCTGTGTGATACAATAGGGGAAGCAGTCCACAGAAACCTGTATTACATTTTCAGACTCTCTCTCTCTCATATACTGTAATCTATAAAGAGCTCTATTCAAATCCTTAACCATTGAGCTTGCTAATACTTTCTCCTCTTTCAGTTCCTTAGATCAATTTGCCCAATCCCCCATCAAACTCAAATCTTATTGGCTCTTGCAACTATGAGTAAATTATTATTACACTTCTATCACATGGCTCTTTCCTAATGGAAGCCACAATCAAGATGATTGCCTGGGAAGCACCCACACAGCACCATGCCATGGACCCAGATGGCTCAGGTTAGCCTGATCTCGTTAGATTTTGGAAGCTAAGCAGGGTCAGCTCTGACTAGTATTTGGATGGGAGACCTCCAAGGAATACCAGGGACATGATGTCGGCCTTCAGAATAGCTACTACACAATAGCTTCAGTTTTCTCAGCATGTTTCCATCTTCAGGTCCATTCTATTCTCACATACCTCCTAGTCTTCTTACATGTCAGCAGGCCTAATGTTAGCTGCAACAGCTTTAAAATTAAAATGGTCTTAGTATTGCTCATCAAAACTAATATGGAGGTTCCCAGATTCTTTTACATGTAGAAAAATTCTCCCAGTCCAGAGAGTAGAAGAGGCTCAGCAATCATAAGAACACTTTCCTGTGTCTAAGCCCTATTTAATAAAGCTGGACTGACTTCTTAGTAGACCTGTTTAGGATTGCACTCTCAGTCGGCTCTAGACCGGCTAGAACATCTGTGTGGTGGTAGCTAAACAACTGACTGATCAAATGCAGCCTGCAAAGTAACTCCAGCTACCTCTCCATGCCTCTTTCTGTGGTGACAGAGAGCATGTGCATTCTTCTGCTCATTGCATTTCATTTACAACATATACATTTATTCTGCACTACAAATGCAGCCACTACCCAGCAATATATTGATGCACATGTCCTGGATTATTATTTTTTTCTGGCATTGAACCCAGGTTTTTCCCACCCAGGACATTATGGGAGATACTGGGGACCAAACCTGGAATCAAGTGCATGCAAAAGTATGTGTTCTTTTACTGAACTCTGGGCCCTCTCTCCTCCCCATCCTGTCCTGCAGAGAGGGCCAACTGGGACTCAAACCAGCAGCTGCAGAAGCAGAAGGCATGGCACAGCATGCCAGCTGGCTCCATCAGTTCAAGTCCCTGGTTGCTTTCTATTTAAGTAAATACATTTAGGATTTAATTTAGTCAGCCTAGGGCGCAAGGAAGGGTACCCACAGATCACGGCCATACTTTCTTTGTACCGTAAGCCATGATTTGTTTATTTGAAAATGTGTGCAGTGGAAAACGATATTGCAAATAAAATGTTTATTGTGCCGGAGATGATGGAATGAAAAGCACTCTAGCTATCGCCTGCCAGCCTGAATTGTCTCATTTGGCAGCTCTGCATGGTGTGGGATGCCTTGTACCAAACAGAGAAATTGTTGCCACTCAGAGAGAAAAATAATGAACCTTGGTAGATCACTGAATCATCCCTTCTCATTTTCAGAAAGCCTGTTAAACCAGGTTCATTCCACTCCAGGCTCACTCTGATGCAATCTTAATATTCAGTTAACCACTCGCTATTTTCTACCTTTGATACCTTTTACATTTAGCCATCCCATTAGGCTCTTCAGCTGGCATTAAGAGCTCCTTCACATTAACCACCTCCTGTTCCTTGTTGACTTTTGATCATTGATTCCCCATTTGTGCATCTAAGAAAAGCGGGGAAATATATCCATGGAAGTAAACAGGATAATTTTACTAGAGGTTTTTTTTTTTTTTAAATGATAGTACATTATTAGTGAGGCACCTGCAGAGGGATGGTTGTCTGTACAGACATGCTTGTTTTCTTATATGTAGACATTTGCAGTGGAAAGAGTATGATAACTGTAATGTATCCACCATGACCACGTGTGCGACCGTTGGACCATGCGGTCGCACACAGTGCCAAAAGCTTCGTCCCTGAAGAACAATAGCGGAGCGGATCCTAGCCCGCACCAACCAGAGGGCCAGGTCCGCGGCCGAGAGCCTATGGAACTCTCGGCCACTGTAAATAGCCAATAGGGTGACTAGTGGGTGAGTTTTGGTGGTGGGTTTCTGGGCATATATACCGGCCTGCGTGCCGGGGGTTCATGTCTTGTTCTTCACTAAATAAAGTACTCTTGCTGAAATCACTCTTCGCAACCGCATCGCTCACGAGGGACCCCACCAGCGAATACACCGGAGCCAGCCCCAACATGCGCCAGCTGCGGAGAGGCGCACGAACGCCGGAACTGCCGTTTCCGCGACGCCGTCTGCCGGGCCTGCAACAAACAAGGCCACATTGCAAAGGTCTGCTGCAGCCGCCGACAACAGTCCAGGAGGTCCAACCACCAGATGGAGCCGATCCACACCGTGGATCTTCACTCCATCGATCTGCACACGATCTCCAACCAGCCCCAGCCCCAGGTAGGCGAAGTACTCCGCGACGGCCGAAACAAAATCAACGTTTCGGTCCGGGTAGAGGGGTCCCCCTGTAGCATGGAGCTCGATACCGGCTCTGAGTTTATGACAATTTCGGAGGACACACTGCGGAGACTGTGTCCCCAGGGGGGGGCACAAGCCACATTTTAGACTACAGGACTTTAATAAGAACCCGGTGGCTGTACGGGGCTGGGGCAAGTTCAAGGTGGAGTTCCAGGACTGTAAAGGGGAACTTGAGATCCTAGTGGTTGGCGGTCAGCTTTCCAGTCTCCTGGGTATGTCTTGGTTTAAACCACTGGGGTTGACCATCGGGGGGCTCCACCAGTTGAACCAGCTACGGAGCCTCAATTTCACAGCTGTGTGCGATGAGTTCCCGCGGGTTTTCGACGGGTCACTCGGCAAGTTCACGGGGCCACCAATCTCCCTGGACCTGGATCCCGCGGTCCACCCCATCTGGATAAAGGCCAGGCACCCGCCCTTGACGATGAGGCCGAAAATCGAGGCAGAATTAGATAAGTTGGTGGCCCAAGGAGTGTTGGAACCGGTGGCATCGGCACGCTGGGAAACCCCCATAGTCACACCGGTCAAGCCAAACGGGGACGTCCGGATCTGCGCGGATTACAAGTGCACGCTAAATAAGGCACTGTAGGACCATGCGTACCCCGTCCCGGTGGTCAGCCACGTGCTGGCAGCACTAGCGGGGGCTCGCATATTCGGCAAGCTGGACTTGGCACAGGCCTATCAGCAGCTGCCGGTGGACACCGCCACAGCGGAAGCCCAGACGATTCCCATGCACAGGGGGGCTTTCAGGGTCCACCGGCTCCAGTTCGGGTTTCTGTGGCCCCGGGGATTTTCCAATCTTTCATGGACGCTCTCCTCAAAGGTATCCCTGG